ATTGCTTTGCATTTAAATTAAGTTTATTTTACTTATAGCCATAACACGTTGATTTTTTTAAGAAAACGAGACTTTCCCAGTAAATGTGCTGATGTAAGAGTTTTTACTTATTTCTATTGGTAAACTATATTCTTTTATTTAGTTTTTTTAGTATCTTATTTACATTAGATTGATTTAAAGACAGAAAATCTTTAAGTAATCAAAGAAAAGCAAGCCTAAAAGTGGGAAAAACATCATCTCATTCCAACACCATATTCTCCAGGGTGAAAACTGCTTGGATTTGTTGGAAAAGTGTTTGCTGTAAACTTGTCATGGCATGCAGTTGACATTCTTTACCGAAATAATAAAACGCAATAAGAAGCCATTCATTTATAAGACCCTATCTTGATTTTGATAAGCAAAATCAATTGGTGTGGTTTAAAAAAAAACAATATATGCACAAAAAAAATGTAATAAAATCAGTTTTTCTTCCCTGTAGGATGTTAATCTCACCTGCAGACAAGGAGATGGAGCATTGCAAGCTTTAATAAATGCTTTTTCTGATATTTATCATCAAACCTGCGACCAGGAAATCCATCACGTCTTTCTCAGGCTTTGACAAAACGCCCCTCAGCACTGTGACAAAAGCCTCCACCCGATTCAGATGTTTTTTTCTGCGTGAGGTCAGTGACTTGAGTCTCTTCCTCTTCTTCTTCCTCTTGAAGCTCTGATACGCTCTTAATTGACTCCGGTCCATCAGAAAGCGGGAGACGGCGACGGCCGAGGTGTGCAAAATATCACTGGAGGTAATTGACAAGCGCAGACGGGATGACCTCCTGTGGAGGAAAGTGAAAGAGGTTAGTGCTGTTTTTCAGAAGAGGGTCAGCGGCGGTGAACCCTTCAGCTAACGGTAGACCATGTCCAACTGCAGACAAGTTTGAAGGCATTAAATGAATAGTTCCCTCCTGACTAGCATACACTGAAAAAAAAAAAAAAGATTCATAGGATTTACTAAGCAGCACGGTGGCACAGTGGTTAGCACTGTCGCCTCACAGCAAGAAGGTCTCTGCTTTGAGTCTCGGCTGGGCCATTTGGCATTTCTGTGTGGAGTTTGCAATTTCTCCCAGTGTTGGCATGGTTCTCGCCCGATTGCTCCGGTTTTCCCCACAGTCAAAAGACATGCGCTATAGGTGAATTGGATGAACTTGGCCCGTTTCCACTGTGTGGAAAGGTATTGTACGGGTCGGTGCGGGTCACCTTTATCAGGCTTGCTAAATTAGTACCCAGTGGCGCAAAAAGGGGGTATGCAGTATATGCGGCGCATAGGGGCGCCACACATGGGGGGGCGCCATTGTGCCAAAACTATTTTTGAAATTATCCTTACTAAAAGTTTCAAATAAAATAAATAAATATGTTTTGTTAAAAATGTTTTTTTTTTTGCATTTTGTATGAGTATAATATTGTATTTTAATAAATAAAAAATTATACCATGAGTTGCATACGTTGGCACACACATTTTAATTCAAAATCAACCCAATAACATTTTTTGGAACTGAAATGTTTTTAATCCTTCTATCAAAATCCATTTTATACAATATACATGTTTTTATAAATTTATTATGTGTCATATTGATACATCAGGCCTTTTGGTAACTTTTTTTGTTCAAAACTATTTTATTTTAGTTACAAAACTTGAACCCGCATACCTCTCAGTATATGTGTAGTTGCGCCCCTGTTAGTACCAATGGTGTGGCGTGGTGTACGACAGAAACTTTCAGTCGACTTTATTCTCGTTTGAGAAAATATCAAAGTAAAGCATACATTTAGTCCATATTTGGGTACAAAAACAACACGCAACATATAGCCCAGTCAGTGCAAACCTCTCGTCTGTATCTTTAATCTTTACCAGCACATGTAGCCTCTGTTAGAGAGTAATTCCGTCATTCTGAGTTCATAGTAGTCCAAAAGGGGATGATAATAGTTGGCAGTTCAATGGCAGTTTGTTCATGGTTTAGGTTGCTGAAAGAATCATTTGCTCATTTTTTTTAGGCTTCTCCTTTGTTTTTTCATGTTTCACTCTCGCGTTTGTCCGTTTCTGAAAAGATCAGATTTTAAAAGTAGGGCTGCACGATTCTGGCTAAAATGTGAATCACGATTTTTTTTGCTTAAAATTGGATGTAAAATAAAGGTTAACATGAGTAGGATATTATTATTGTTCATTTTCAAACATATCATCACCTTGAAATTATAAGGTTCTGTCTGCGTTCTGAATGATTTTGAGATATTAAGCTTCAAAGTTTTTGTAGTCCATATAGCAAACAGTATGTGTGTAACGTTTTTTTTTTTTAAGTTTTAAAATGTAAACAATAAGTTGTCATTTAATAAGAATTTGTGAGTAACTAAATTTTGTCAAAAATGTCAGATAGAACCTCATAATTCTAAAGTGATGATATGCTAAAACAACACTAATAATATTAGGCCTATGTCTATATTAGGTCACTCATGCACTATGTACTTATGCACTTACACACTCAACAGGATAGTATATGTATGTAGTGGCGTCCCAAATGGCACACTAATGTTTTTTTACTAAGCGGAAATTCAAAGCGTTTCCCTGATGACGTTTGACGATTGCCAAATGAGTTAAATAAACAACCAAATTATCAAATAATACCTGCCGTGAGTATTGCCGCATTCACCATCGGGAGGCGCTATAATCACTCTCGTAGGAGAATTTTGCTTTCGTCATCCAAAATAAATAAAGTTATTCAACATGTGCATCCAATAGCTCCGCCCCTTCCGCTACGTAAGCAAACCTGTGGTCGTTGAGTGCGTGAAGTGTCCATCATTACACACTTCATTTTAGCGGCGGAATGAGTGCATCATCCGGGTAATTAAAGTGCACTTAATATTTTTAGAGTTTTCAGTGTGAACACACTACTTACACTGTTTATGCTACAAAATGGCGTAGAATAGTGCATAAGTATGCGATTTGGGACGCAGCTTATGTGTAGCTCTACTGTTGCTTAAAATGCTATAAATATGTCCTGTTTGTTAATTCACAGTTAAATGATGACATCAGAATATAATTATTCATGATTATAAAGTTGAAAAATTATGTTTGCATTATTTTCAACATTATATAAGCTAGAGTAGCTATACTGACAGTGTAAAACATTTATTTTCATGCACAACACTGTTAGCTATGAAAGAAAAAAAAACATATCAAATGCTTGTCGTAATCATAACTGTAAAATGCACTATGATCAGTTAAATGATGTGCGCACAGGTTTCACTTTCACTTCTCAGTGCGACTCATGGCTGCCGTATGCCTTAGCTGTTGATGCTGGGAGATGACCAGCTGAATCCAGCTAAAACCAGCTTGACCAGCCTTGCTTGGCTGGTCAAGCTGGTTTTAGCTGGTCATCCCCCAGCCTGACGAGCTAAGACCAGGCTGGAAATGACTGGAAACCAGCCTGGAAATGACCAAAACCCCAGCTAAAACCAGCCAACCAGCCTAGGCTGGTTTAAGCTGTTTTTTTCAGTAGGGGTCAGTAAACAGTAAACACACACACACATGCAAATCATTCTTTCAACTCGGCTCTCAAACAACGCTCTGTGCAACAAACGGAACGCTATTTACAACTTTATAACTTATTCACAGCAGATGCAGGTTCTGTTCACTAAAGTAGCCATCATTGGCATGCTACGTGCACGCGCGCATGTTCTCGGTAGCTCGTGGTAAGCACACGTGAGATTTGCGGACGCAAATAAATCATTACATGAGACAGAAATGTCTGGGTCAATTAAACCTTATAAATACAGTATGTGACACTTTTAACGCCATTTGAAGGTGTCAATGTTCCTGCGAGGACCTGTGCAGCCGCCTTTAAGCTTTCTGACCTTGAAAATATAATTGTCTGAATCGTAGAAAAGCTGAATTAAGATCGTGTGTAGGGTCGAATCGAGATCGTGATCTTTTTTCGATTAATCGTGCAGCCCTAAACTTCAATAATCGCACGTACGCTGTTATCATCAGCTGAAGACGTATATTCAAAATATATATTCAAATATTTAATATTATAATAGTAAAAAGTATATTCAAATATAGACGCACGGCTCACTATGGTGAGAAAGCGAAACCGCTCGTGCTTTAGACGGCCTTGTAACTACGGGGGCATGTTCTCCCTGCATTCGCATGGGTTTCCTCCGGGTGCTCCGGTTTCCCCATGGGTTTCCTCCGGGGTCATGCGGTACAGGTGAATTGGGTAGGCTAAATTGTCCGTAGTGTATTAGTGTTTGTGGATGTTTCCCAGAGATGGTTTGCGGCTGGAAGGGCATCCGCTGCATAAAAACGTGCTGGATAAGTTGGCGGTTCATTCCGCTGTGGCGACCCCAGATTAATAAAGGGACTAGGTCAACAAGAAAATTAATGAATGAATGATTTAAAGATTGATGCCCAAAAAGAGATTAACTCTTGGACAAAGCCAAAAAGTATGGTAGAGGGTCCAGATACACTTTTTTTTTTTTAATGGGTTAATTGTTTGTCTTACCTAACAGCTGGTTTTATGCATATTTTACCTATATTTGGGTTAAAACCACCTAGCGTTTATTGTGTATAAGACCCTCAGTTTTGTTAGCAGTGTATACTAATATAAGTGAAATGTTCAGAAAGTATGCATTATAGTTGGCTACTTTTGATGCTGATCTGTCAGTGAAACTGATCACAATTATAGGCTATCTTTCCTTAGTGGTATTTTGTATTATGAAATCACAGGTCAGCAGATGGAGGATGGTTTTGTTTTCTCCTTATCTCATATCAGAATAGTCAGACAAATATGAGCACACGACTCCTATAGATGTGATTTACCAGTACCACACGCAGTCTGAGCCTGGTGTCACATTATTAGCCTGCCAGTGATGGTGAGTGAATAAATGCGATTATTTATGGGCTGCAAAAACCAGTACTGGCAAATCATGACTGACGTCTCCTCGTCTCCTTCAGCCGTGTCCTTCATGAAAATGAATATTAGCAAAACATAAGACACAGTCAGCAATGATGTAGTCATTTACTGGAAACATGACACCCAAAAAGCACACATCATGATTGTTTTGTCGAAGTTATACCTCCGGGGTTTTGTGAATGAGGATTCCTCACGCGCTCCCTTCAGTGCTGATTTGCGCGCGCTCTCGGTGGTGACGGGCAGAGAGTGGCGCGGCGTCCTTACGCTACCTTGAGAGGGGGGAAAAGGATGCGAAAAACCGTTTTTCAGGTCAGCACGGGGTGAGATTCGCTTAATCCGACCCTCGTTACCATCCTCAACGCGTTCAGCTTTGAATCTCCCACCCCCAGGATAGAAAAATTGACGCGCGTGTTTGAGGAAAATGCTGACGCGTTGACGGCATGTTTGATCGGCTCGTCGACTGCTGAGGGATATTATTATTACTCTTAAGGACTTTTTGTGGACTAGAACGATCGTCTTGGGTGACCTTTTTCATATGGAAACTCTTTCTTTGAGAATGACATGAATTTGGGGGTTTTAATAAGACGAATGCAAAGGACGAATAGATATAACCTGCTGAGGGATATATTTATCGACGACTTTTTATGAACGTCGTAAAGATCGCATTTAGTCTATGTGGGACTACTTTTTCCTCCGGGAAGGCTGTTTTTTGTTATAAATAGACGTTCATTTGAAATCAGGTATGGTTTATTATCATTCATACTCAAAACTCACATCACACTGCATCATTATTCATCTAAAGAAGGATTGCTTTCATTTTATTTTGGATATTAATTTTACCTAGAGTGATCTTCATAAACGTCCTATAATAGTGAAACACTTTCTTCATATGATTGAATCGAATGTAAAGAGAGACTTGCTGAATTAATCTCCACTTTTTCCTCTTTGCAACTTTTTTTTGTCTGGACATCATATTGTCGCATAATAGGAAATACTTTAAATTTGGGGATCCTCTGAACAGAATACGCCGCATTAATTAAAGCTCTGCAGCATTTTCATTCATTCACATTTAATCCGTTTACTCATTAAATGTCATGTTTGTGTGTGGAAAATAGGACAACTTAATTTCGGAATGTTCTTAAAATGTTAATTCAACGTTTTACTTTATCAATGTTTAATGGTACAAATCATTTTAGTTCAGCTTCTTTCCTATAAAGCCAGGTAAATAGCCTGCTGATGAACTGTATGAGGAAACAGGCATGTGGATAAACTGAACGGGACTTCAGCAAGAGTTTGGCGCATCTACATCCACTGGTGATGCCGGAGGTCACTTCCACTAGAAGCGACAGGCTAGCATCCAAAGGCATTATGTTTTTATGCAACACCACAGCCATCAAGGACTGGAGCTACTTTCTCTCTCAGATCTTGCCTCTTGTGAATAAATCAGCGGGGTTTGTCCATCAGAGTATGGATCGGGTGGAGGCGGTGACGAGCACTATGGTGACCGCTCTGGAGCCCGACCTGAGCGGGATGAGCGCCAGTCATCCGCCGCTGAACTCCAATCACACGTCCGGAATGGAGCATGTTTTTCAGTACTCGTACTCGGAGGGTGACCTGCAGTACACGGACTACAGGACGCCCCAGAGGGACTCGATACCGCTGCCCAAAGCGGTGCTCTATCTGGTCATGGCTGCGCTGGTGGTGGTGGCGGTGGCGTACGCGATTGTGGGACATCTGGTAAAGGATCTCGTGCATGAGTTTGTGGGTAAGTGCTGTTTAGGAATATAATTAACACTTTACAACAGGGAAAACGCTGTGGATGTGTGTGTGTGATTGTGTTTTGGATGTGCATTCAGCGAGATACAGATCGAACTGAAATGCAAGCGTGCAGCAAATTTATACATTGCACTATTTTATATACACACACTAAGAAAAAGAGGTAGACTTTTTTACCTAACTGGTGCATATTGATTCATCAAATGTAAACACTGTAAACAATTGTTGCTGCCTCAGTTTGATTATTTTATAAAAAAAAAAAATTAAATGCAAGTTTTTTTTAGTTGAATTAAATTTACTTTTCAAGTCATTTCAACATCTCAGTCAAACCGACTAAACATTAATTTCACCTTCATTCATTCATTTTTTTTCCGCTTAGTCCCTTTATTAATCGCCACAGTGGAATGAACCATCAACTGATATGTTTCACGCAGGGGATACCCTTCATGCTGCAACCCATCACTGGTAAACATCAATACACACTCATTCACACTCACACACTACAGACAATTTAGTCTACCCAATTCACCAGTACCGCATGTCTTTGGACTTATGGGGGAAACTGGAACACCCAGAGGAAACCCACGCGAACGCAGGGAGAACATGCAAACTCCACACAGAAACGTCAACTGACCCAGCCGAGGCTTAAACCAGTGACCTTTTTGCTGTGAGGCGACAGCACTACTTACTGCGTCACAGCGTCGCCTGCTATTTATTCTATCCTTTGCTAATAATAATGAAAACATTGTACTGACCGTTTCAACTGTGTATTTACAATAAAACAGCTCTAGATGAACAGATTTAGCCATTTGGGTCTCTTATTTTCACATCCCAATGTTGACACGTATGCTGCCAGTATGTGCACAGACATGCTATCTGAGAATATAACACGCTGCTGCAAACATAATGTAACCCCTGTAGCAGATCTACATAGTACGTAGTTCCCAGTACTGGGTTGCAGCTGAAAGTGCATCCGCTGCATAAAACATATGCTGGAATAGTTGGCGGTTCATTCCGCTGTGGCGACCTCTGATAAGTCAGAGACTAAGCTGAAAGAAAATGAATGAATAATAACTAATAAAATAGGTCACACTTTATTTTGATGGTCCGTTTGAGTATGTCAACTTATACTAACCCCAACCTACCAGTCTCCTTATAATCTAATGAGGATTAGTTGGCATGTGGAGGCAATGAAACTAAGATTAAACAAACAGATCATCAAAAAAGTGTGACCTAAATCACTACAAAAAGTGAAGTTTATTCATAAACTAATTTCGAGAGGATCAGGTGCTTATGACTGACACGGCTGTCCCCGAGTCAAGCTAATGTACGAACCACCAATCAGACTATTCCTAACCCATTATAAAAAACCAAACATCTTACCTTTAGGGCCCTACTCACACTATGCCATCCGTACCGTGCCCAGGCCCGTTTCCCGGATCGTTTGAGAAGTGTGAGTGCGCTGAATCGGGCTTAAGCACGGTTCACTTGGCCGGCCCTGGCCCGGTTGGAAGAGGTGTGCCTGAGCCCGGTTCACTTGGGCTTTGGCGCGGTACGTTTGTAGTGTGAGTGCAAAACACGCCAAAGCCCGAAACTGAAAGCGAGACGTGACTTTTATGGGACTGTTTCATATTTATTTATTCATATAGATTTATTAATTACTGTTCAGTGAACGCAAACTGCCGTAGTTTATTAAAGACGCAAACCCCTCACTGCAAGACAGCTGCACGGCTTCAGCAGACCTCCTTATTCCTGCAGCACGAGAGCTTTATGATTGTTTATGAGCGCCAAAAGTGGCGGATCTGTTCGGCGAAATATCTGACTGCGTGTCACCGCATCCCTAAGAACTGTTTGGCGAAATATTTGACGGCATATCAAACGACTGAAACGATATAACTAGAGAAATCTCTAGTTATAAAATCTCCCTCCTGTCTCCCCCGACGGCCCGCGCTCGCACCACAAACGGGCTTTGGCCCGGTTCGAGGCAACTGTACCTAGTGTGAGTACGGCCTTAGTCATTTTTGTCTTGAAGAATCCCCCCTTCCACCCCCTCTCCTCCTCTTTTTCTATAGGGCAGCACGGCAGCCCAGTGGCTAGAACTGTGGCCTAACAGCAAAAATGCCTCCGGCTCGGGTCTCTACCTAGCCGGACAGCATTTCCGTGTGGAGTTCATGTTCTCCCCGTGCTTGCGTGGGTTTTCCCCAGGTCCTCCGGTTTCCTCCCACAGTCCCAAAAACATGAGACTTGAGTAAATTAACTAAACCAAATCAGCACCAGATTGAATTCCTTCAGCAACACACCACTTTAGCAATCCTGAAGCAGCAGGAGGGGGGTGGTGGTGGGTGGTTGTTCTCGAGATCTACCTGAGCTCAAACTCCCCTCTCGCCCTGCAACGGGAGGGAGCCCCGGGCTTGAGGATCTCATGAGCTCAGGGCTCTCTCACGGGACAGCATGCCAAACTAGCTTATTACCAATCATCAGCTAAGTGTGAACTCTTGAAAGCAAAACTAAAGTTTGTTTTTTTTACCTGTTCAAGTCATCTTTTCATCATCTTAGGTTAAAAATGAAGTAATCCAGTAAAGTATATCATGGTAAAAGCTTCCACTGCAAAAATAAAATGTAAAACCCAGCAGAAGCCTATAATAGACTCACACAATTCCTTTTTTAATGCCGTTGGTGGAGTTTAAACATGAAGCAAATGCTGAAAAGCCCTTACATTACCATTGTTCATTCACATTCACCTCCACAAGCATCCGATTCTCTCTCTCGAAAGCTTCGAGTCGAGTGTCTGAAAGGGCATGAAACGGAATTACATTTAATTCCTTTGGAGTCCCTCACTCCTGTTTTTCAAAGACCTTGACGTTTACCTGAAGCGATGAAGCAGGCGGGTTTCACACGTACACACACACACACACACACACAGAGAAATAGTGAGGGGACACAAGCACTCAACAATACCTTGGAGATTTCTCCAAAAGCCCAGGTTACAGCAGGTCCTGCGTTTGCTGTAGGTGTGCTCTGTGTGCATTTGTGAAAGTCCTGAAGGTGTAAATGTGAGGATTGTCTGGTGAGATTGTCACTGTATATTTTTCTCTCCACCAGGGACGGACAGGAAGGTGGAAGCTTGTTCTTTTCTATTTTAGTGTATCAATTCAATTCAATTCATTTCACCTTTATTTGTATGGCGCTTTTACAATGTAGATTGTGTCAAAGCAGCTTCACATACAAGGTCGTAGACTCGTAGTATAGACCTTTTTCATGGCTGCTGCATGGAGGGCGGTAGAATGCTAAAAACTTCCATTCACAGCGTGTACTACTGGTAATTTGCGCTCCAAAAATGGGTTTCAATAACGTTTTTAATGGATAACAGAGTGTTTTTGTGACACACAACTTAGAAATGTGTCTGTTAAAGCCGTTATAATCTGTCACATGTGGTTCAAGCGCGTCACAAATACGAGAAAAACCTTCTCCTAGTTCTAGCTCAGCGGCTCTTTAACACAGTGGTTCTCAAAGTGGCGGTCGGGACCCCCTGGGGGGTCGCGGGACAATGAGAGGGGGTCGCTTGGTGATTTCCAAAAACTTTAATAAACTTTTATGATTACCATTGCTAATCCATAACCTACAGAAGATAAAAAATGGTTACATAAAAAAATACAGTATCCAAACAAAAAGCCATCAGCCTTTGGTTTTTTTATTTTTTTTTATAAATTTTATTTTTTTTACATTGATTGCAACCCTTAGGGTTTTTACATTAGATTAATGACAAAGCGATGACAAAGCAATAGCGTCAGTGCACCAGATTCTACAGCACTAGCTAAACTTTCTGACACTGTTACAGCACTCGCTTACATTTAAAATACATACAGGACACTAAACATGGAATATGATGTGTAAGTGGCAGTCTCCTAAATTAAACCAAGAAAAGACTTGGGATGTAACTTAAATATTGTGCCCACCAGTCTAATTAGATGGGGTTAATATAAAATAATCATAATAAAAATGATATGGGACTGTTGCACTTTTTTTGTGTTGTCAATATGCTTGTGTTTATATAGGCTGATTGGTTTGTGTGAGTGTTGTGTGCAACGTTTGTATGATTATGACCACTTACGAAAGTAGTGGGGGTCGCGAGTCATTGGCACTGTTATTTTGGGGGTCCCGGGCTGAAAAGTTTGAGAACCCCTGCTTTAACACACGCACACAGAGAGAGAGAGAGAGAGAGAGAGCAAACCAGAGTACTGGCATGATACTTAAGAGGTAGGAAAGTCGTGCAATTTACAAAAATTACCAATAAAAGTCTTTTATTGATACTCTGCTGGCTGATTTGCTGTTCATTCTAATTGCGAGCCGTTTGTGTTTTATTTCGTGTGTTGTTTTTACCACGGTTTGTGTTTTTCTGTCATTTCGAAATGACACTAGCTTATATTTTCACTTTGTCACAGTTATTAAATCAGTGTGTCAGTGGCACAGTACAGGCTACGTGTGTGTGTCAAACATTTTGGTCATTTACATTTGTTTGGGCTGGTTATATATTTGAAATAAAGAGAAAATGTTGACTTTAGCGATGACAAGGCTTCATTTAAACTGCAGAAGATGCCGTCTTACACCGAGGGGAAAACGCCTCACAGCAGCTGTTTTCCATCCTATTAGATCGCATTTCTTTAAATGATCAGTCCAGGAGATGGTGCTGATGGACAACAGTATTAGTTCAAAGAGGATAAAAGCAGGTAAAATAGATTAAAACTATCTTTTCAAAGCTGTCCAAATGTGACTGTTTACACGCATCAGCTGCCGACCGTAAGTTCTTCGCATTCTCCTTGCGCATACACGCAAAGCATCATGGGTAATTTTGCATTCCAAGAAAAAGGTCTATATTGGAACAGTGTAGTTCTTTTTTTAGTGTTTAAGTTCAGTTCAGTTTAGCTCAGCTCAGTGTGCTTTAATAATCACTACTGAGAGTACAAACACTGAAGAGCAAGTTCATCGATG